GTGCAACTACTTGAATGCGGAACCGGGGCAAAGTTGGTGGGTGCAAAGTGTGACGCATATATCGCTTAGTGACGGAGTAAAGATAGCTCCCGCGATAAGTGTCAAGGATAATTGCTGATCAATTGTGAAACAGTAGATGATAAGTAATTCCCGAAAAAAGAAAGACCAATGAAAACAAAACCAATATTCTCCTTACAGTCCAGCAACCGTCCTGCGGTCCGTGGCAACCCTTGGCTCACAAATCGCTTTATCGCATTTCCCAGTAGTGGACAACATCCATTTCAAAGAAAAGAATATGAAAAACAACAAAGACACGAACGAAAAACACTTGAAAAAAGAAAAATTCAAAAACCTGGCGTCCGAATTTGGGGTTACGTGCAGTGTGCAGCTCTCAGTGCATGTCGAGCTTCTGCACCACAAAAATTGCATCACTCACGTGTTTTCCACGCGTTTTACCTCTTGCGAGATGGGTTGCAGTTGACTGCTCCCAATGAAAAAAATGTAATAAAGGAGAGCAGAATTATTTATGGGCACGAGAGTCGAAGCGCGGGTCAGGCAAAAGTACATGCAGTTCCGATTAATGCCATCCCACATGCCGTCCCAACAAAGTACAACTGAGCGGCCCTCCGTCACAGGGCATCTAGCAAGTGGGCGGTTCAACTTGGCGGGCGTTAGTTAGAACTTTGAGCGGCTGTAGCTCGCTCCTCGCTCACTGTAGAGTCGCGAGAGTGGGAAAGTATCTAGATTGGAGGCTGAATTACCTGCACAAAGAAGGACGACCATGTACTACTTGAGCGCAGGGCTGTCTTCAAAGAACATCCCTTTATTACAACCACACCTATAAGCCACATCGCTCATTTCAACCCACTTTCCTTTCTAGCGGCGGAAGTTCACGGTTCACTTCTAGAGCAGTGGGTCTGCCTACATTGTACATTGTAACGGATCTACCTCGCATTCAATCGTTCGGCGGATTTCTCGGATCCATGACTGGGCGTAGCACATAGTTCATCCGGTGGCGCCCCACATGGGTTTGACTGGGATGTTCTCACTTCGGGACCATTGCAATCATGTTTTCGCGAATACAAGAGAAAATGACACTTGTTTTGAAGAAATATCCCTTAGGCCACACCTACCGCTTCTCGGGGATGTGGAGTGTATCTATTTTCGAATTGAGGCATAGTTACGGGAGTGCGAGCTTGGGAAGGTGTGGATACACATGGGCACACCCACAGAACGACAAGGAGTTTGCTCGAAATGGCCTATGCCTACAAATGAACTTTCGTCCACTACCGAACCTTTATATATTCTATTCTTTCTCAGCAGGTAGCAAAGGCATACTCGTAAAGGTTCCCGATTTCTGAGAAACACCACTACAGGTTTCATTCGCTTGAAGACAGCCCCCCCCCCCGCGCTCAAGTAGTACATGGTTCTTCCTTGGGCAGGTAGGTTCAGCCCCCAAGCTAGATACTATCTCACTCTCGCGACTCCTCAGCGAGCGAGGAGCGAGCTAGAACCGCTCAAAGTTCTAGTTCGCCTGCTCAGCGCACTAGCTAGCTGCCCGCTGACGGAGAGCCGCTCAGTTGTTCCTTGTTAGGACGGCAATCATTAATCGGAAGTGCATGTGTTTTTTGCTGACCGCGCTCGTGCTCGTAAATAATTCTGCTCTCCTTCATCACATTTTATTCACTGGGAGCAACGTACAGTCAACAGCAACCCATCTCGTAAGGTAAAACGCGTAAAAAAATCACGAATGATGCAATTTCTGTGGTGCAAAAGCTCGACGCACCTTCACTACACTAGAACTGCTCGCTATCGTAACCCTAAGTTCGGACGCCGGCTTTTTAAATGTTTCCTTTTCTTTTCAAAAGTTTTCCTCTATGTTTCTGTTGTTTTTTGTTTTTTTTTTTCGCATTCGATGATATCCACTACTGGGAGATGTGACAAAGTGATTTGTGAGCCAGGGCTTGCACAGAGACCGCAGGGAGGTGTGACTGTCAGGGCGCGATTTTGTTTATGGTGTTCTTGAGGGCTCTTGTTTCTTTTTTCCTTCATTGAGGAATTACTTATCAGCTACTGTTTCATAATTGATCAGCAACTATTTTGATGAAAAGCAAACATTATCCGCACAGAAAAACAGACTCACTTAGGTGACTGACTGAGCTTTCGTGGTGTTACATCACTAAGCATGATTGACTGTGGGTAGTAGACGCGTTGGAGGTTGACAAAAGATATGGAACGAAGGTCATGAAGCGGTTTGCCGAACTTTTCATGTTGCAGGACGGAATGCGCTACCTGAACAATGAACATCAGAATCACTATTTTCCGTGGAACATTTTCGAGAGACTTACTTGGGTATCGAAAACATTAACCATATGTACAGCGTACTTGTGTGCTAATAGAGATCCGACACGTCTGGCGTCGTGAATCACCTAAAATTGAACTCGTTTTTATCAGTAAAAGCACTACTATCTGTTCTTTTCTACCGTCTCAAAAGTCAGACTCTCTCACGTCAAAAGTTAGTGGCTTGAGGTAAAAGGATAAAGCCTCCGCCACTGAAAGAAACAACCTTTTGGAGGAGGCGGCACGCATTCGTAACGTTAAATTTGCGAGAAACCCTTGTCCTTTACTGAACATAACAATGGGTCTATACAAGGAGTTGCGGAGAGGTCAATGAACAAGCCCGTGTTCCTTCCCTCCCAGACTGATTGATTGACTGATCTGATGGCAATTCATCGAGTTACGCTCCGAAGAAAAGAAGTCTTGGTTGGTCCATGCGGGAAACAACCAGGGATGATTCTATCCCGAGACTGCTAACGTGGTAAGAGTTTCACTTGGTACTACATCACTCCGCCTCGTTGGACTAGTGAGTAAATTTCCATATCTTTCAAAGATAGATATAGGAAATCTTTGTTTCCTTTTCGTTTCGGTTTTAACAAAAGACAGCACTGGTTGTTCAAGACCTCTTCCACATAGACATGACTGTTCTTCGGCCCATGATTGATTGATCTTTTTGGCTATTTGAGAGGCTCTTGCATCCGCACTTTGGTTCCTTGAAGCACTACCAAGAGATTCTGGTACCGATCCAGCTTCAATTGTGATAAAATGAACAAGAAAAATGCATAAAATGGCGCGCGACGAAGGCATTTATAGTGCAAGAGGCATGAAGAATCCCCCTCCCTTCCCGTAAAGTTGTTCTCACAGGAAGAATTACAAAAACTTTCTCAGAAATCTGCAGCAAACTTCGGCGACCATTTGAGCTCAGAAGAACCCCTGGAATCACCAGTGTAAACTCAGCAAAAAGGCAATGAGATCTCACCTTTGTGATCTTGTCGCTTTCGAGTATATCTCTCAGCTCCCCACTTTCATGAGATACATCGCTAGAAGCCAAGATCGAAACAGATTTTCGAGACACCACACCTCTGCGACTGAGTGGCAAGCACAGCACCCTAAAACGCTCTGCGCTTAATTATTTTTATTGAATTACACCCTAGGGTGCGCCATATACTCGTATAAAACAAACTAGGAAGAGATTTTTGAAGCTGTTCTGTTATGGTAAATGGTTTAACACCGCAGTACGCGCTCCGAATGTTATCACAAGAATGCTGAGTTGTGGACAAAAGTCGCGCCCCAGGCGAGCTTGTTGAACCCGCACCTCACGTCCGGAAAGCGTGAAGTGCGGGTTCAACAAGCTGAGAGCAACAAAAGGGCATCTACCCTTTTACCCTCCCAGCTTGTCGGAACCCGCACCTCACGCTTTTCCGGGCGAGTGCGCTATCCGTTACGCCACCAGGGCTGAGGTTGACCGGCTCCCCAAAAGTCAAATGTGTGAGTGCTGATAGGCTACGGCATAAGCCGTTAAGCTGAGAGGGTAAAAGCGGCCCTGGTGGCGTACTCGCCCGGAAAGCGTGAGGTGCGGGTTCGACTCCCGCCTGGGGCACGACTTTTGCCCACAACTCAGCATTCTTGTGATAATAGGAAGAGATACCCAGCTGTTTCATGCAAACATGGAGGGAACTCTTGTGAATTTGAAGAAAAACGCCAGAAAAAAAAACTGAAGAAAACTTGTAGGCTGCCAGTCGAACTAGTAGTTGATACTTGTTATCCGCACTTATCAATTAATGGGCAGAAATCATTCATTATCTAACCTCGCACTTAATCTGTCAGATAAGCTCCGTTTCCACAGATCGGAGAAGGGAGAGTGTTCTCTCACTGAGCCTTTAGCCTATGAAACCTGAACTGCAGTTACAGGTCAGTAGTAAGAGTTGTAGAGAAGTGCATCGGAGATTAGCATTCATCAATCCCAATCGGTAGTAACCACTGTCTCCAGTGTCACTATCCTATAATCCACCACCATTTTCATGATGACAACCTGTATCAATGTGTTATGACCTCAAAACGCGCGGCGAACTCAATTTTAGCGCCTTTATAACTCCGATCATATCCTATCATTTACTATCACTTTCTCTTACCTACTACCCGTGACTCATCCCTACTATCACTCCTGGAGTTACACTCCAATGTTAGTGGAAAGTGCGTCATGCATTTGGCAACGTCTGCCTCCAAAGCCTCTTATCAGCCCCCATCAGCAACTAGCGCTTTATATCACCACTTCCAGCTCCATAAACAGCTCCTTGGCGCCAACCCGCTAATGTTAATTGGTAAGCTTGCTGTGACTTCCGCTCAAGCGCATATATTCACACCAACAAACAAACTTGGTGAATTATATATTGTAGGATTCTGCAGGCTAAACCAAAGGCAGCTCTAATGAGAAACTTCTGAAGTACTTCTGAGCGCTCATGCCCAAAATTTGCCATTTAATGGGATGGCTACATAATCGCATTGGTGGGAACAGGGAATACACTGTGATCAAGCGCGTAATAAGGAGATCGTCTAGAATGAGCTAAATTATCACCCAGAAAGTGTCAGGCAATTATACTCAATACTATGAAGGTCAGATGAATTTACCCGCTCCGAACTCCTGTCACTCCATTTTCAGGGAGCTATGGAGAACAAACGCAGTGAGGAAAGGCAGAACGATGGAGGCGATTCGATTCCCAAGGAGGGACCCCGATAAACTCACATAAGGAAAGGAAGAGCTCGCCGTCGATTCCCACAGTGACCGTCTTGAAGTCGAGACCAACAATTTTGCGTTCTTGATTGTGGATATCTTGTAGCAGTCGTTCCACGAGCTCCTAAAATCGGAACTGTTCAAAGGTCGTCGAGCTATAAATGGTGACCATATTTGCTTAGCTTACAGTACTAAAGAAATGGACCAAAGGTAATTGGAGAGGGGCTGAAGTTGCGGACTGTTGTAAATACATGTTTCTGCCTATCTGCGCTCTTGCATCGAAGATGATATCGGCGTACAAACCATTCCACGGACAGGAACAAAAAAGACATGAAAACTAGAGAAATGGGAATTATATTTCTGAAAAAGTTTCGCGCCAGAAAGTACTAAGGTAGAGGTGTTCGGACACATGATCCAGTGCCTTCATCAAAGCGCCAGCGATCTGGCCTGGTCTGCGCTCTGCTCGTTTGCATGCTCCTTCGTTGCCGAGGTCTGGTCTCTCAGCAGAAATCGTGAAGAACCTTCGCCTTACGCTTGAAACAAGGAGAACCCTATATGAGGCGTTTCGATGGTTTCTCCAGCTTTTTTCTTCTTAGCCATGTCAACTGGCTTCTACACTTTCGTTTTTCAGCCCACTGCCTATGCATTGGTCCACGGCTTATCGCGATAAGCGGCTTTAAAGGCAGTTGGTACGATACTTTGGTACTCGGCCTAAAATGCTAGCAGGCCTATATAGTGGGGAAAATGGCGAAAAAACGAAGTGAAACGGTCAAAAACCTGCGAAGAAAAGCCTTCGTTCTTATGACTCAAAAGCAATTTCGGACGAGTTTCCCGTAGGCATCTTGCCAATAACCGCTACGGTAGGTACAGCTGCACATATGTATTTGTAGGCAAGCGGACGCGGTGGGCGTCCGGGTCGCTATGTTGCAGCTTCATAGAGCCTTATAAGGGACCCTTCCTCGGAAAAGTGCTACGCAGCGCCTGCTCAGGGGCGCGGAATTCCGTCCCGCCAGGCGTATCAACCCTCCTCTTCTAGGGATTTATCGTGCCAAGTGCCTTCAAGGAGCAAGACCTGTTGGAGGTCAGTCACTCATATGTGAGGTCTGGTGGCAGTGACTGGAGCAAAATGGCTCCAGTCACTCTGATAGGCATTGAGGATTTCCTAAACATCAAAGTCTGGAGAGTTTCCAACTGGTATTTGTGTGAGAATTCGCCTTTGTTTTTTTTCTGTGTCGCTTGAATGTTTCATTGTTTAAGCCATCCAGTTTCGTCACATTGTAGCGCACCTTGCGTTTACCATAATTCTAATGAATACTTTACCTGAGCTGGTTTCAAGGCTTTCACAAAGTGAATCCGTGCCAGAGCATTTTGGTCCAGAGGGAACACGCTGTTGTTGTTACTTTCCAGATCACCTTCATCCGAGCCGTTCTCACTGCCATCTTCCGATGGACGATTTTTTACCAGGGTCACCTGAAATTGAATTGTATTGTTGCATCGCAGAACTCACGAGTACTCCTCAACAAATACTCCTCATTACTGCTGCTAAACAAGCAGATTATCAAGAAAATCTCCAAAAAATAGTCCAGCAACATAATATTCTCTTACCTTATTACTTCTGATGAAGAATAGTCCGCGATTGAGCTTGAGGAATTGCAGCAGCTCTTTCGGATTCGTCGCAACGTCTTGACGAATCGAATGTGAAAATCGCTGGCAAAATCGCTGATAGAACACATCCAGGGGAATTGGCTGGTCCTCGTTCTAAATGAAAACATTTGGGCACTCCGTGAAACCTCGTTCAGTCAGATCTTCAGTTTACTGATTCATCGTTTTGGGATCACGTTGAGTGACTCGTCGGTGTACTGCACTAGTACTGGTGCGACTATTTCGAAGAAGTGGCGAAAGAAATTAAACCACTACAAAACGCTCTGAAAAGAGTGGCAAAGTGGCAAAGTCAGCTCGAGCTCAGTAGGGTGTGAGCCACTTCGTGCACGCAGCTTGTCATCTAAAAAGGGAAAGAGGTGGAAATCTCTGTTATAGAGAAGTTATTCTCAATCATATTTGACTAGTTTAGATTCTTTTTCGGTGCCAGGTATGCTACAATATCCATTCCAGTCCAGACTATAAAATCAATATCCAGTCCAGTCCAGACTATAAAATTCAGGAAATGCGGTTTCGCGAGCGCTGATGGTTGATCCTAGGCGTATGCTTATACTAATACCGAAAGGCGGAAAGTGTAAAGGGAGGGGGTGGGGGGAAGTGTGATGGGGGGGGGTGCTTACAGCATTACCCGCCGACAGGGTACGCATCGTGATGTGTGAAATGGTGGTGTAGGTACGACCTCTCCCCTTCGACGGAGGGTGCTAATACGATCCCCACCCCCTTCCCCAACACTACCTACCTACCTCCTACCTACCTATCAGTTTCCCACATTTTCCAGTTTTTCACCCAAGAATTTTCCGTCAAGCGGTGGGGGAGGGAACGGGGGCAGTTTTCTCTCAGAGACACATACGACCCCTATCTCTCCCAACAACAATCAAATACGACCCCCTCCCCAGCTGAAAAGTACGACCCCCCCTAAGTGTATCCCACCACGATACTGTACTCTGCACGCCGAAGTGTCCTAATGCAAGAGAAGCAGGGTTTGTTAGCATAGGTTCGCAGAAAATGACGAGCTGTAGCTGCGGCATTGAAAAGAGTCAGGAGAATGAACTAAGAAAGGAGAACTTTGTTGGAGATCAGGTGTTCAGCTTAGTGAATGAGAATCTCATTCTTCGGCCATGATTAGTGCTCATTTATCGACAAAAGCAACAACCATGTCGTCCTCATGCCATCCTACCATGCCACTCAACCCAATGGAGTACTTACTCGTTTCACATTCTGCTTCGAGATAATCTCATATCATACCTGTTCAAGCACGCTTTTCAAGTACTCCACAGCCGCCTGCTTGGCTTTCACACCTGCCAGAGGCTTACCCTCGTCGTCCAGTTCGATGGCATTATCGTCTGGTTCGGGCATGTTCTGAAACACATGCATATGTTAGCAAACTTACATAATGACCAATGAACCAGAAAAATTCATCTAGTTCGGAGAAGTGACGACGGTTTCGAGGAGCATTTCAATCCATAAATGAGATGGAACTAATGAGATATCTGTTCTGAGTTTTTGTCAGTCATTCGAATTCGACAGAATGAGGTAAACGGTTACCTTTAGGCGTACACGGTCGCCCTCTACGACGAAGTGCTCCGTTTGCGACTGCAAGAACTCGCAGAACTCCTTCAGATGACGTCCAGAGACAAGGCGGACCTCTGGCGCGGCTTGTGAACGATGTCCCAACAACGATTTGATCTATATAAAGACAGAGTGATTATTAAACGACCATAGCAACCGAACCTCAGAGTCGTAACATGTCCGCTTTCCCGAAACACTGTTTATTTCCCCTTTCGCATCCAGCAATCAGACCATTTCCCAGTGAATCTGTTGGGGTGCTCACCCTCCACAAAACCACCCCAGAAAAAAAAACAAATTATCCTTCCCTCTCAACTATTCGAGGATTGGTTAAATACGAAAGAATTCTCTCTCTGTATGGTGGGAGAGTTCCTCGCAGTATGCTGATTATTCATGCGCAGTAATATATGCTTTTGCTTGCTTACAGGGCTGTTCAGGGTTGTGAGCACTGAGACGGTCAATAACGAACAACTACTGTAGATTTACAGTACCTGCAATTCGGGTCCAAATTTAGTGAGCTTCATCACGAAAAACTCCACGGCTTCCTTTTCGTAGTCACGATTTCTTGATGCCGATTGCAGAAGCGGATTATTTTTCGCGGTGATGTCGCCGAAGCCATTCAGAATCACCTATGTTGACAAACTTCAGTTTTGGAGAGGAGTTCATGGTGATTCAAATGCTGGCAAATGGAACGCCTCGAAGTTAACAAGTACAGGATCCCTACCTGATCTCCCTCCAAAGTAAAGAGGGATGGGTGCTGCTGAAGAAACTCGGTAAGGCCTTCCTGGGTGGTGCCCACCGCATTTCGCATCTCTTCTGAGAAACTGAAAAGAAATGCATTGGGATGTAACAAATTGGGAAAGTATCGTTTTGAAACGATTATGCTCCAAGAGTTTTCAATGATTGTTTCGGTTTTTTCGAGAGCCATAACTATCACGCGCGCTTACCACTCGCGCGGTCCTGGGTTGAAATTCCGAGTCGACTCACGCTCAGGCCAAGCAATCCTTTTACCCTCAGGTGGCGGTAAATTGGTACCAGATTCGGCCCCCGCAAGTCATTTTATTGGCCATATAGCATTCAATAATCCACTGCAATCCTGAATGGAAGGAGAAGCGTTCCGCAACCTACAAAGGGATTGATCAATGGCGAAGACTTACCCCTTAACCTCATGGACCTAGATGGTTGACCCTGACGGATTCTTCCACATGCTACGCTAATATACAACGATGTTCATTGTGGTCATTTAGTGATGGCAGCTGCTGCTGCATTGATTGAAGCGAGGTGTTAGCATGATGCCAACTGTCGTCCATAAATTAAACTAAACTAAACTCTCCTAAACGACCTCCTTGATGGTAATAGCAGGCTTATCCGCTGTCCGGACTGACAGGCGATGAGGCCTTTCTCGCACTTTCGACACTTTCTCTTACTTTTTCTTCACTGGCCAGCATCACTCTCATTTTCGACTGGCAATCATATTGGCGTACCGGTTGCTTCTGATGCGTTGAGAGACGCTATTTTCAGTTAAGAACACCCTTTCAGTGAGGAGAGGAAGGAACCAACAAGCTCAGAACCTTTCCTGTGTAGCTGCTATGTTCAATGCCGCAGCCGCTGATTGTGGATGTTCCACAAGAACGGATCCTTTTGAATCAGCTTCCCACTGGACGAAGTATCCCACAAGGAACACTCGTTTTATTTCTTCTGAGGTGAGACGTCCGCATCTCTCAAAATACACACCGCTTCATGATAAGTAGTTTAGCTGTAGATCTGACTCAACTTCCAACAACACAGTAGTACAGTAAGATAACAGCGCACATGCACTCGGTGCTTTAAGTGATTTCGTTTATTTACAGGAACGTGAAAATTTCCTCAAGACTCCAACCCTCTTCTTCATCATGCTCCTACTCCAGAATGGTGAGGAAAAGCATGAGGGGAAGGGCTACGCCGCAAATCATCGTTGTGCGAACTCCATCGTTGGGGTAACTGCTTGTCTGCACGGGAGGGGTCGTATTTGGGTTAATTTCTCTCACTTCTATATCCCGCTCGACGGCAGTATTTTGGAAAGACTCGGTAGCATGGTAGGTATGTTCTGGGAGGTCTCCTGAGATAAGGGAGGAGCGAGGAGGCTGCACTACCTCCGCCAGTTCCCCACTCCAGCTGCGTACCTTGAGCGGGCATGCGATCAAGTATAGAATAGTGGAGCTATCACGAATAGTCTCAGACAAGGGTGGAGAGGTGGGGGGCGGGGGGGGATTGGGGGAGGAGGCTCTTCCACGTGAAAACCTTACCCCGATGTAGATTCCATAACAATGATGAGTATGTTTGGAGAAGAAAAGTAACGCTTTTTTACAGAGAAGATCTTTGAACTGTTTCCTTAGCATATAGAATTTCGTTTAGGGAGACGTCGAAAATCAGCCAAAAATATGTTGATATTTGAAACATACAAAAAAAGAGGAGATTAATAGTGGTTTCTGGCTGAACAAAATTTTTTCATCAGTCACCATTTTTTTTACTCTCACTAACCCGCGAGCACCAAATTGACAGCTCAGATCGTGAATCGTTCGTCGACCGTTCTTCTGCATCAGATGATCCATAAAGAACAGCAACGCCATGTTCTTCGCTTCCTCCATTTTGGCTTACCTGAAAAGCAATGGCAATTAATAGAACGACATGAGATGTAGGCCTATCAACAAATACAGTCCCCGGAACGACAACAAGCTAATCCGAATGCGAGGAATAATTACACCCACCAACTGAACATAGCGACAGGAAACGGAGCGACAAGAAAGAAAAAGTTAAAATAAAAAAAATCAGAAAGAATTCTGAGCAGAGATGAGAATTGCATTTATAGCATCATTTTTAAGAAAAATACGGCTAGTGGAACTCTTCGAAGCAAATCAGCATATAATGTAGGCGATAAAATGAGCGGCAAAGGTTAAAATAAGAAAAATGTGGCATGCAGAAGAGATAATTATCGAAAATTGATTGGAACAACGCGTTTCCCACATGCTCTCGAAAATGATCGGCCATGAAACCCTTTTGTTAGCCTCTGAACAAAACGACTGGGCCTAGTCTGTGGTTTCGGGATCAGCCGATGTTCGAGATTGTTTTGTTTTCTTTTCTTTGCAACCATTGCATCCAATGACCCACCTCAGAGGAATTTTGGTTGGGTGGCCAGACTGTAATCAGAGCACATCATTGTGCTGAGGGTAGTACACTCATTATCAGGGTAGTCCACTCCTTATCTGGTTGTGCTTTTGGTGCATATTTTAATTTCGACACCAACAGTTGTGTCAAAATTAAATATGCACCAAAAGCACAACACAGCCCTATTAGTTGAAGTACGCAGCCACACCTACCGCGTCTCACTGATTTCGCGGGTAGGAGGGTGTGAGAACGGTGGCGGGCGGTGGTGGGTATAGAACAGCTTCCGAAACAGAAAAAAACCTGCTAAAATTCAATAAATTAGGCATCTTAGAACAGTGACAAGTACGATTCCCTCCCTCCAGTGGTAAAATGCGACCCCCTAGCAGAGATCCCAACGTGCGACGCCCTGTCTGTAGTACGACCCCGCGAAAAACGTTTGCAATCACACGACCTGAGACGTATAGAAAGAGTGCGTGAAATTTTGAAGGCAGAATGCTTAGCTTCGTGTGAGCGTTGGTTGCCATCTGTTAGCGCGTCACGACTTTTTTATGATGCCAAAACACAACACTTAAATCGTAAGACGATGCATAGTTGTTCCGGATTGAAAGAATAACAACATGAAGAATGCACATGGCGAAGAATTGAAGTCAGGAAATGAGAACGAGCATTTGACGCAACAAATGACAACTGAGGTCTTACAACTGGTTTGTATACCAGAGGAACGATGATTAGCATTTGGTACGAAGCACCGGAGAATGAATAGGAAGAATCGCCTCCACTTCCTACCCGGTAAGTTCTTAATATGATTTCGCGGCTTCTACTGAAAACCTCGCCACTCGACAACCGCCCCTCACCGTGTTCTTGGACCCGCCCTCGCACCCTGGAAAACCCGTTACCACATGAGACCCCTTTAGATGATGAGCCAGAGCCATTTGCTGCAACTCATTTTCTTTTAATGAGTGTCCATTCTTTGTGAGGTCATCTCAGCATTCACTTGCAAGCGAACGCGAGCACTTCCCTCCAAATCACATCTCTTCCCTTCCCAAGCACATTTCCCGTTCCAGGGCCAACTGGACCCTTATAGCGTTCACCTGTTCTTCCTTTTTCCCTCGGCAATATTTTTACCCGTGAAGCTATGTCTCACTTGGGTATGTTCTATAGGCCAGCGGACCAAGGTCGGCGAGGGCTAGCCCATTGAAAAATGTGGGACATACACGTTGTGGGCGGAGCCTTCCCCTCTGGGCGGAGCAGACATAAAGTCTGTAAAATAGTTCCAGAGCACTCCAGACACCGTCAGCATGTGAGCAGAGATGTGCAGGAGCCCAACTGTTGGAGTGAGATAGACACGCCCATTGGGTGCAGAGCATGCATCGAAGTAAGCGGAGAGAGAGTCAAAAATTCACGGCTCGGTTGTGGAGCAGCAGTGGCACCAGGAACAGGAGGACTGAGTCCAGAAATGTGTGAAAGAAGGTACGCGCGACGAAGCTGAGCAGTATCACAGAAAGAGGGCGAGCCGACTGGTGTTCTATAGGCATGTTCACACTCACATTTCGTACAACTTATGTGGATCCATCCGTGAAACAATCCCCATCGATGTACCATGAAAACCCTATGACAAGAAAAATGGTGGGCTGCAAAGTAAATCCAGTAGAGCTCGTTTCTCTCACGAGAAGGAATGAGAATGCTTTGATAATTCACATGTGTTATCAGAGATGCTGATGCATCATCCTCCCAAGAGAGGCTCATCTCCCAAGACGTTTCTGACTTGAAATGATATCCTGCCAGCTCAATTAAGGGAATGACACTCTTCGTAAACCATCAGAAATCGCCAAATCTGTAGAGGAGATTAGGAAATTTAACAGATTTCGTAGTGAAACTGATCAAATTTGATGCAAATAGAGAGGCTTCAAGAAGCGAATGTTTGCCAAAGTTATGGGAAAGGTTGAGGAGAGAGTGCTATATGCAATTCAAGAGCGGAAGTATGGCGCTCATAGTGAAATGTGTTGAACGCCGCGACGCTGGATGGGCGGGTTGGCGAGGATTATCTGCTAATAACGCACGGTCCTATGCCAAACAGGGTGTCCCAGTCCACAAATATTATTTAGCCAGCTGAGCAAAGGAAGACGATGAGGAGCTGTTCCGACATGCCATCACAGAAACTCGCGGTTGGTCAACGCATCCAGAATATGGGAAACGGTTCGGAGACTAGGGTACAGCATCGTTGTGTGAAACACATAGGGGGGTCGTACTTTTCCGCTGGAGAGGGGGGGGGTCGTGTTTGATTGTTAGTGGAGGGGAAGGTCGACCCCCTCTACCAACAATCAAATTACCTTTAAGAGAAATTTGTTGCGCTGAGAAAAAATGCTTCCCGGTTGTTGACTTTTCGCGCGATTTTTCCTGATTCATGTGTACTATACACCTCCCACTCGACGGAAAATTTTTGGGTGGTGGAAAACTGGAAAATATGGAAACTGGTAGTAAGGTGTTAGGGAAGGAGGAGGGGGGGGGTCGCACTGAGGCCTTCATTTAGGTGGGGGGGGGCGTACCTACACCACCATTTCACACATCACGGTGCTGTACCCTGTCGGAGACTGCATGTGACAGATACCTCTCGATAATTCGATTATTTTTGGAACGGATTAAGCGTTCTCGTTCTCGAGGACAAGGAAAACAGAGGGAATCCTCTGAGAAAATAAAATTATTGTTCGGAATAATAATAATAGTAATGGTAATAATAATGGAAATCTGGGAAACACCCCAGCACTGCAAGCAAGCTGGATGGTGACTAGATGGCCCGAACTTAACAACGAAAGTTGATTGCCGTGCGGAACCATATACTAGAAGCCATAACTCTATAAAACGCAGTGAGCCGTATAGCAAAACGACAGCGTAAAGTGTAAAGAAACGCGACAATGGGCAGCAGAAGGAGAGAGAAACGAGAAGAGCATAGCACTGAGCAATTGTTGGGAACAGCGTGCTGACAACGGGCAGTCACAACGAGGAAACACTTCAAAGGGAGATGAGTCTAAGCGGGTGCGAGTAAGGCAGGTCGTCGTTCGGGATTCCCTATTAAAGCTGGAAGAGGAAGCGATCTTTCAAAATACTAGGAAAAGGACCGATTCCAGATCACTGAGAAGTGTTGGTATCCATTAGGAGGTAGGTAATTAGCGATGTGAGGGGCAGTTCAGCGACGGGGAGGGGGCATTTTGCACTTTCCCCACTTCTCATCGACGTGTCGGCCCATCTTAAGGGCTAGTTCATGAACTTACAAAGGTTGACAGGTTTTACCATGGTGGCTCGACGAGATTGCTCCAGCTTCATGAGAGTTCACAGCTTTCACACAGTGTGACTTCTCAACCGGAACTAGTGAAGCACCGAAAGTGAAGGATGCCCCCCATCGCCCGTATTGACTCCCGCTTCAGGAGATTTTCTACAAAGGCGCTGGGTGGAACCCTGGAGTCAGAGGATCGGAAAAGAGCTCGCTTCAGGAATGTGTGAGCAAGTCATTTGTAGTGAATGAGATTGAAGTAAGCAGTGCAGGTGAACAACAAAGTGCAAATTAGGTTCAAAAAATAGTTTTCTCCGAATAACATGTGACACAATTCCGTCGAGAGAAATGAGAGCAAAGATCGAGGGCAAAAGTTTCCCGGCAGAGAAAACTGGTGCCAGCTGCTTACGTAAAAACTGTGAATTTAAGCAACATAACACTCTGGCCACCGACAGATCCAAGGCTCACAACTTCAGGACCGAAACTTTCGAAAATGAGCAATCCGAGACCGAAGTTGTCGAAAATGAAGCGCTGTTGAGGTGTATGGGCACGCCAAACTCAACATGGAATAGGCAAGCTATTTCATACCATATCATGTTCGTTTAATATTCAGCAGCTATGATGCATACAGGGCAGATGAATGGATGGTGAGACTGAAATAGCATCGATCAACACCCCATCTCCATTTTGAATAACAATCGACCCAATAGGCTCCTTTTCAAAAGACACAGGTGAGCAGCACCCGGTGATTTCCTCCTACGAACACAGAAACATAAGAATACGAGCAGAATAGTCATCAGAATTGTGTACTGCTAAAAACCAAATGCTTCAATAAAAGCGCAATATCGGGTGCATCTGTTGGGATGAACGTCTGAGGCCGGAGAAACGCTAATCCACATTATTCTCGGTTCCCCGGGAAACCGCCAGCAAGAGCAAAATACCTGCACTATTGGAAAACCGTGAGAAAACTTCATATATCACAATGTAAAATAGCCTATTTGCTAAACCTGTCAACGTGTTATTTAACATAAATTCAAAGTTTTTTTCTCCCACGAATAAAAAAGATCGGTTTTTTTGAAAACGTTGTCATGTGCTGAGATGTCACAATGGTTCAAAAATAGCGAGGATCTAATGGTTCAAAAATAGGGAGGATTTGACCAACCCCCAGCAACTAACACCTGCCATTCATTTGAAATTCCCCACAACAATCAATGA